CTGCGGCTTGCTCTTGTAACGGCAGCGCGGGAGGAGGCGGGAGAAGGCTCCCCCCAAGGGTACAAAGGCTGTTTCAGAATTCACCAACAGCAAGTCTGTTACGCATACGCAGAGACTCTACTTTAATCCCTTACAGCTGTGTAGCCTATGAGCTGCCTTTGATCTTGTTATCTTAAGTCATAACTTTGCTTTTGTTTCTGAAGACACTAATATTACAACTACAAATAATTTAAAAACATTAGGTATGCAGAAAACACTGAATGCACCAGCAGCCTGACTCAGTGCTGTAAAGCTGTATTCTTTCCACAACTAACCTCATGGAGGCACTAAGGTTCCTCAAGATGGTTTTCAAAAATCAGCTAGTCGAGAAGGGCGATGACAGGCCTTCGAGATGTACTAGATGTACTAGAGCACCTCGTCTTATTTCCATGACAGAAGATGCTCTTTAAATAAATCCAGTCTAGAAACAGCCACGCTTATTCACATTTATCAATAGTGGGCAATTAAATGTTTGAGCTCATGGGCTGAATATAATATGTGTTTAATATATGTATAAAGCATCATTAATGACATTGCAATTTTCCACTTTCCATTTCTGAATTTTTCCATTCAGAAAATGGAACTTGCTTTGTATCAGAGCATGGAAGGCTATTTTCATCCCATCCCTTTTTGACGGACAGATGATAAAAATCTAGACAGGCAGTAACAAACGTGAGCACAAACCCTACAGGACTATTTTAAAGCCCATCCCACAAAGTGGAGTCAATAGGCTGTCAAATACAAAAGGTACAGGGTGAGATACAAAAGAAACATTATAGAAATTTGAAATTAGAGCTTATCAAAAACTGTAATTATTTGTTGGAACCTCCTATTTCATTGGAGCAATCGGGAGAAAAAACAGTAAGAGGGAATTACAGCTCTAAGTGGTGCAGTTAACGTATTAACTTGGGATGTGGAAAATCCAAATTCAAATCTGGAAGAGGGGTTTCTTGCATCCTATGTAGGTGTTTTGGTGTAAAATAAGACATGAGTGATCCTCTCCCATTTACTTCAAAAATTTTCAAAAAGATTCAGAATAAAGACAACTCTTCTTTTATACATTCTTCTCAAAAATCAGAAGTATAGCTTTTAAGAACACGTTCACATACCATCCTTTCAGAATAGGCTATCTTTCCCATTAAATAGGATATTTCCATGATTCTGTGTAAACACAAAATAAAAATACAAAACAAAACAAAATATCAGTCCTTTAATTTCTGCCCTTTTACAGTCTTTACTCTGTAAGAGGAAATGGCTTCCTACCTCTTTCTGCATACAAGAGTTATGAGCATAGAGTATTGAGAACTTAGAAAAGTAATGTTATATCCGTAATTTAGTTCCTGTAGCCCTTAGAAAACATTATGATTACCTTTATCACTGTCCAAGTCTTAGGGCATAATTTGGCTTTGCCCATATCTCTAAGACTGCATTCACAGGAAGAGCTGTGTAAGCAGCACTAAACAAGATTCAAACATTGTGGTCTCCACTTAGTGCATTTTACAAAGCAGCTTAGTAGTAAGAGCCTCTTGTAGACCAAGTGACATGTCCACTTTCAAATATTTTGTGTCAGTGGCAGAAAGGCTACTAAGATAAAGCACATTTTATCTTTCTGATGTTCTCAAACAGGGAATTGGATCTGCAGCTTTTGCTCAAAGTACCTTACTTCCATTGCTGACATCAGTACGCTGTCTCCCTGGTTTCTACCATCAGACTTTGACAGGAGCGGCAATTGCACAGCATAACTACTACTTCTTAGTCATCATATAGATAACAGCTTTCACCTTTTATAATAACACAAGCCAAACAACAAATACTTTCTCCCCAACATAAAGCATTTCAGAGACCACCAAGGTCACAATTCAAATGAAGCGCCCAATCCCAAGTACAATCTTAAGTACGTTACGCTGTGAGCTCCACTTCTGAAAAGCAGAGCAAAACCAGAATATACGCACAACGGTAGTCCATCATCTAAAAAACCTGCAGCTATCCACTGTGAAGAAAAAGATTAAAAAAGAAAAGCCAACAAAAGACCCTAATGCAGAGTTATCACACCAGTACAAATGCAGAGTTAAGGAAATTTTCAGCAGAACCAGACGAGGTGACCAAAAAAACAAAGTGAAAGTTGGGAGACAAAGTGAATGGCAGCTTTGCACCAGAACATGACAGAGAGGAAGTGGATATACAGAATACTTTTTATATCCTACATCTTAGAGAGAGGCGTTTCTCACGCTTTGCAAGAGTTGTTGAATGTCAGGTTAAGAATGGCTTGCTGAAAGGAATCCTTTGTTTCTAACTGTGTTTAGTCCTTCCTTTCTACTATTCAGTATTAAAAGCTGTCCAGTGCCAATATTAAAGCCTCCCACCAAGCCTTCATTGTCCTTTCTCAAGCACTTAGAAATTTGACCTATATAGCATCTGACCCCAAATAACACTTCCAGGCCCCATTCCCCATCTGAGTCCTTTCCAAACAGATTTACAATGTTAGTATGGAAAACCACTTGTTAACTAGTCAAATTAGTACCCAAAGAATATCATTTACAAATAAAACTAAATTCCCCTTAAAGCCTAAGAGAGGGGAAAAAAAAAGTGAAATCACTGAATCACAGCATGGTTGAGGTTGGAAGGGACCTCTGGAGATCATCTAGTCCAACCTCCCTGCTCAAGCAGGGTCACCTAGAGCATATTGCCCAGGATCACATCCAGACGGGTTTTGAATATCTCCAGCGAAGGAGACTCCACCACCTCTCTGGGCAACCTGTTCCAATGCTTTGAAGTGCTTTGTATTTTCTTCTAGTAATTTAACTGTTGCATAGTACAAAATAAAAGCTCAAAAGACATTAAAAACTCAATAAAAACTCAAAATGAACATTTTCTGGGTTTGGAAGTCAGCCTGCTACACGGCTCACTGGATCCAGGCACATGCTCTCTGCATATACAGAATCAAGGAATCGCCATACTAAGGAATTGCCTAGCTTGGTATTCGGTAAAGGACTTTGTAACATATCACACATATAATACACCAATGACAGTAGTTCTTTCTCCCTAGGCCCTGCGAATAAGGGGTCTCCTTATGTCTGGAACATATGCTATTACAATAAACTGTATAAAGATATCATTATGCTATCCAGTATAAATTGAATTTTTTCCTCAATATCCAACCTAAATTGTAGTTTAAGTCACATTCGTGCCCCAAGCAGTGTCCTAGGCAGGATTTCAGCCTTTAAAAGTCTAGCCACTTGAAAATGTCTGGCTCAGACCTCATACTCCCTCCCCACCTTTTTTAAATAAAAAGGATTCAGCACGCAGTTTCAAGATACTGTATGAGCCAAGTGTCTGTGAACTCAACCCAAAGTAAACTCTTCTTTCATAAGCTATTATCATATATGGAGGAAGAAAAATTCACAAAATAAGAAACTGTGTTCTTTTCTTTTATTATGAAGTTCCAGTACCTTGCATACAACATGCAATTTATTGCTTATTGACATTATTGCATATATCAAACAAACAAACAAACAAAATCAGGCAATATAACTTAATGCAAGCTGCTAAACTGTTCAAACAAAATGCAGAAATGCTCTACAGTATCAATGAAATGCAAATGAATCGTTCAGGATGTTATTTTATAATAAAAAGTAAATTGATATCCATAATATTTAATCATTCACCTTACTACAACTGATTACTTTTATAACCAATCTGCAGAATTATTATATTGCATTGTTAAGTTCTTGTGCAATGATAAGGATTGCTATGACACTAAAGCCACATTACTATCTTAATTTAATAATGTGACACTGATATTTTGTGCCAGTATTAGAGTTTTAACTTTACTGCAAACCGGATTGTCATGATTTACCAGAAGTCAGTGTAGCAGAATTTACAGTTTTCATCCTCACTCTGCACATAAACTAGTTCTACAACATTTATTAAGTTTGGTTTTAGACAGAAGATTATACAAACATTTTTAGAATTCCATAAACCATTAGTTTTATCTAAATTGTAAGTCATTTTTTCCAAGTTTGTAATTTGGTTTTCTATCAGGTTAGATGTTTTACATGTTAAACTAGCCTACATGTGTGTGTGTGTGTGTGTGTGTGCGCGCACGCGCGCATGTGTGTAGATATTAAAGAAAACATTGTATTATATGCATACTAGAAACAAATCCAGGATATTTGGATGTGTGCATACTAAGCATGCAAATTATATGCCACAGCTCACGATTAGCCCTTTTCCTCCTTTCCTCCTATTATATGATAGATTTATCTTGTGAAACTGGAATATGGTTACAATAAAAACAATATATTCCGCATTGCATTCAAAAATGTCATGTATTACAGCTTAGTATTAATATTTAAATGTTGCTTTCAAACCTAGCAAAATTTTAAAAATACCAAAATTTAAAACTTAGAAGACAAGTTGCATGCAACATGTTCCTCATAGGTATGAATTCTCAAATACATACATATTTATACGCTCATAAAAGCATGTCCAGTCCACAAGACAATTTTTGACATCCCACGCATAGATTTAAAAAAAAAAAAGATATATTACAGAATATTTTATTTGCTTTTATATTTTCAATTTCAATGACCAGGAAGTTATAAATAGCACACAATCGTTATATGGTTGATAAGACATGCTGAACTCTTCATAATTCACTCTCTGAAAGACATTTCCTTTACACTACAACTAGATTAAAAAAAAAAAAAAATCAATGTACATAACTATGATCAGGTGTCCTCTGAGTGCAAGGCACCACACAATGAAAATGATCTCAGAAGATCTTTTGACAGAAGTTTCTTACACCAAAAAATCCAGTTTGTTCTTCATAGCTACCTTCCATTCTTTACTCAGCTATAAAGTGCTTGGTTATTATAAATAGAGCAAGAACGTCAGGGTAAGGAGGTAGCTAGTAAAGATTTGTAACGGATTCAAAACCTTATCATGTGTTACCACCTAAAAGCATGAATTGGTGCTTAATCCCAGAGCTCTAAACAGCCCAAGCAGCACATCACTCGTTACTCTCCGCCATAAAAAGACCTTGCAAGTTCTTTCAGAAAATCGTAAGACCTTCATCTGTTCCACAGAAATTTCACCTCGAGTTGGATGAATGTTAAAGTTTGTAAATACTCATCACTACTTCGATCTGACTGGTGTCAGGAACCGAGTATGAAGTGCTGTTCTCTTCCCAGCTGTTAGATACCTTCCATAGAGACACACGCTCCACCCAGGAACAAATCCTTCCTTGTGAAGTCTCTTGTAGACAGTTAATGAAGCTGTAGAGCAGGCTTTTAAAAATATGAAAAAGGGGTATCCATACTTCTCAAAATCTTTTACTTTTCATCTGAAAATTCTAGCCTCTTTTAATTTACTGATGCCTTTCCCCAGGAGTGAATACTGCAACAGATCCTAAGTAGGAGTAATTTTCAAGCAGCCCTTTATTCTCCTCTGACTGGCTCAGCAGAAGCATCACAAAACAACTTTACAAACTTCTCTGTTAATAACGATCTTTCATGGAAAGCTTGTATTTACATGTACTGATACACACACAAGTCCATGACAAAACATCCTCTTCATACAGCAATTAACAACTAATAACTCAATTTGTGCAGCTCGGAAATTTTAAAGAATAAAGTTTCATTTGCCAGTGGGTACAGAGATATAGAAATACCTAATACTTTCCACTACTTACTATTCGACTGTTGTCCCAACTACAATAGCAGGAAGAAATCTGGATTCCTATACTGTATGTTCTCAAGTCTCCTCCGCCTCTCCTTTTAAAACCTGCTTGTACGCATTTGCTCATTTGTTTTTTCTCTTAGGTTAACATGAATTCTGCAGTATGAGTAATCCTCTCCCCTCATTTTTAATATAAAGAAAGAGGTAATTATCTTTAAGACACTGTAATCGCTTTAATTTTTAATAAACTTTAATACAAAATTTGGAATTGTTAAGAATATCTAAAGTCAGCCTGTTTCATTTTCCTGCTCATGGGATATTTTTCAAAAATCAGTAGTTTTTTTAAAGTAATTAAGCTAAGAAATTAGCTTATAATAAGCTCATTCAAATTAAAATGCATTTATAGAGGTAGAGTAGGTTTCAGATATGGAATTCTTACCACTTAAGTATGTATACAGATACCCATTAAGCATCTCTATAGCATAAGGTTCTCAGCTTCCTTGAAATCCATTGTAACACTCATCTAGCAAATAAGTATTTTGAAGTATATTGCCTCTCTCAAAATCCTCTATCCACAAATGAATTATAAAAGCAAAACACGACCGACCTACCATTCCCCACAGTAGTTCTGAAACTGATATTGATTCATTTTTTCATTAAAAGGTAAAGCCACACAAAAAGAAAACTTACGTTCCTACATATAGCCTAACTGGTACAAATACACTCTGCCATGATCATCGTGCTAATTTTATGCCACCTGGTATTGAAGAATATAAAAGAAGAGAAAAATAAGATATTTAAGCATTTTTACGAGGTCAACTCCTACCATTTGATATGCCCATGGCAAAGACACCTGGTGACACACCAAGATTCTGCTTCATGTTTGACAATGCAACTGGTAAAAATGGAGGTTTTAAGCCACTTAAAAAAAAAAATAGATTCTAAAGATAGCATTACGATGACCACTTATCATGCTCTTACTCTTTTGCATTAAAAAAACCACAGAGACAGGCTTGCAAGATGAAATTTATAAATATTTCAACACAGTTTTTAAATGAATAAAGTGCAACCGAAAAATGGATGCCAGTGCTCTCTAATTTGCTGTATTATAAGCTTTTAATGGCAGGCAGAAAGTGCCCCATACTAATGCACTCATTACCTCACAACTTTGCCGACTCTGTTTTACAGTCCTTGCCCAATACAGCAGTATTAATAATTTTTTTCATCAACAAGTTGTCTTCTGACATATAGTAGATACACCAGAATACAACTGAAATAATTAAAATATCAAATTAGAAAATGAAAAAGTAATGCATTGCAAAGTATTGTGATAATTACATTAATTTTGTACAGCAATCAAAAATATTGCAAGTTCTAAAATAATTATTCGACTGCCCTTTCCATTCTGGATTGTTTCCCAATTTGTACTATGTAGTTCTTTTTCCAACCTAGTTTTAACATAATAAATTGACTTCGTTTCCTCTCATACACAAATCTATCTAGAACTGAAGGAAACAGACCATTTTAATGAATGTTTTACACTGAAATAACAAAAAAAACTTAAGCACTGAAATTTAGATTTGAATGGTATTAACGATTAATGCAAAGAAGGGAGGAATTTACAAGAGTCTTCATAAGTTGTCATCTTAAGATTTGCTTCAAATTATCTTATTGATATTTTTCATCCTACTGCCTGAATAAAAAGGTAGACTTCTACTTTCAAGTGTATTCTCCAAAATGTCTGAATTTACTAACTTTGAAATGGATTTGAGACAGCAACACGCTACTAGAAAATAATGCCCTGATCTAGTGACTAAAACACCACAAGATGTATTTCATTTACACCTTTAAATCATAAAGTAACACAAACATAGTGCCTTTGTGTGTAGACTAGATTTCGCATTAGGTACATTGAAAGCACTGCCTTAAAAAACACGAGGTTCAAGCGAACAGAAAAGGGAGCCCCCTTCTTTCAGCAAAGCAGGCCGTCGAATCAATTCGCCAAGCGTATGAACTTACCTACTGGTATCCAGATAAGGTACTGCAGTCATTCCAAAAAACCACAGCTAAATAAAATAATTGCTAAGTTTCCCAAGGCACAAACAGATCTTTTGTCCGTGCACTTGTGAAATATTACTAAGCACAGAATCAGAAGAATTGAAGTATTAACAACCCTTGACATCTCCTCTAAGAAGGCAAGATTGGGAAACAGCATCGGAAAAAAATGCCTGCCAGTTAAACAGTGAAAGTAAAAATGGGTATTATGCTAACCCTAAAAATACTCTATGAAATTATTTTGAGCAGGGGAACTAAACCGGTCATAGTTACCCTGGTTACGGGGCGTTGCAGCCTACTGAGCCCTCTTACGGACCCCGGACTCCTAGCAGGGGAGCTCTGCTGCCCTGCCCAAAAGCACAGAACCTGCCTACTGACCCCCTGGTCTGTAGGGATAAGAGCTGGTTTTGCTCAGCTTTGTTAAAGGGAACAGGACAAAAGAAAAACAAAATAGCCTGCACACAGGGCAAATATTTTCTCCCTTTGTTTGAAAATAAATTGTCTACAAAAATTAGTACAAACACTTAAATAGTAAGTGAAAAAGCATAATTTAGCACACGTTATCAGAAGGTATAATATAACTAGTAATGTCAAAGAAAAAAAAAAAAAAGAAGAAAGAAGAAACGGAAGCTGGTCAGTCCCAAATCAGATATGGTTTAAAACAAGCAAAACAAAAAAACAAACTATGCATACAAATACAGCTCTCAAAAATCATATAAAACCCACAGAATTTCCTCAAATTGTATTACAATTTAGATTCTAGACCATTCCTTGATGTTAAGATTACTCTCTGATGTCCTCCAATCTCTAAGTCTGCAGTACCTATTGACAAAAATGTGGTTCTGAAAAAGAAAATGTTCTCTACAGATGTGAACTACCTTCTACAGAATTACTTGACAGCTTTGAAGAATGTCAACACAGTTTTTTCAACAGGTACAAAGTTCACCTCCTTCCTGAATTCAAGAATGTTTTTAGTCAACACCTCAGATTTCCAGTCTCATTAACAAGGAAAATGGGGCAAACAAACATCTGTATTTCATAGCAAATGGGTCATTTCTGTGACAAAAGAAAAAAGTATTAAGTTACACAGCACATATACAGAAGAATTTTCTCTCTTTACAATTAAACTTAACATCCCAAACGTCCCATGGTAAAAAACAAGAGGGGAGTTGCAATACTTCTCAAAGGTAGTAGCAGCAAAGGAAAAATCTCTCTCGTCAGAATTACGCTGTTTCCACATAACGTTTACCATGCTAACCTATGAAAAAATTTCCATGGGAGATTTAGTAGATGTACTATTGTATGTCAGCTAACATAGCAAAAGTTAATACTTCTCATCAAAATCGGAGAATTTTAATGGCTTTTTAAACACATTTTGTGGTCTTATAATACAGCATTTTCAATGAAATTATTTCATAAATCCCCCCCAAATGGTGTGCATGCATATAAACAGAACAAAGAGCAGTAAAAGACTTCATAGAATCCAAGCTAAATTTTTTGTTTGTCTTGCAAAAATTAAAAAGTTGTCAAGAAAGAAATCTCGACTCTTAACGCTAAATATTCCTACAAGAAAACATAGGAAGATGCCAGGAAAACTGCACCATAACAGGAGTTTTGGGGTTTTTTGTTTTTCTTTTTCTAAAAGAGACAGAAGTCAATATTCACTGGATTTATAAAACACATTAATCTGAGAAACCTGAGTGAAACACTTAAGAACACACTGGTAGACAACAACCAAGGAACCAGTCAGCTCCGTTCTAATTTCAGTAGTTTGTTAAGTGCTTAGAACACACACCTAGAATTCAGTTGTGTGAACTTATGCTGTTGTTCCTCATTCAGTAGGATCCTTAAAGCGTGACCCTGGGTGTGCAGGCAGTGTGGCTAGGGAAGGAATAAGATCAGTACAGAGGTAACACCTTGTTTCCTTAAGAGGAGCATTCCATAGCAAAAATGTGCAGTGTTTCCGTGAACCCAAATTATTTTCTTAGTAAAAGTTTCATTTTATGCATGTGATTTCTAGTCAGATTTCCCATTTTTATAGGTTTTGGCTTCCTCCTGTCCAATAAGACAAATAACTTTGTAGCATCCTTTTGTAATTTTGACCATCCACATCATGTTCATAACATCCAAAACAATGCTTGAGATAATCCAGGCGCTCTGGGCTGCAAATCCTAACCTCTCAAAAGCCTCTGTTCCAAATGCAGAAATTACATGGCTGTAATACATAGGAATGACTGCAATCCTCACCACGAAGAACACAACTGTCATCAGCACACCATTGATGATGTTGGCCTTTGAAGATTTGGGATATCCCAATACTTCAAAAAACCACCTGCAAAAGAGAAGTTTTCACAGACACCAGGCAGATTTAAAATCCCTTTTTAATGGAATGACTTTATTTTACGGGGTTTTCAATTTTATTTATTTTTATTCATTACTTCCAACCTTCTCTTTTCTAAATTACTGCCCTTTGTTTTGGCTTAACTGGCAAACCCTTCTGCTCAGCTACTTGTTTTTCTTTTGTTAAGCACTGTGTGATATCCAGTACACTGCAGGAATCATATGTCGAAAATCTTGATTTGTATTGTAAATCAGTACACAGTAAGTACTCATCTCAGTCACTATGATGTGTGTTATGCTATAATTCAAATTTTATATTATTTCTTGCAATAACTTGCATCAATGAACAACTGGAAAAAAAAAAACAAACCTATTTTTTCCCTGAAAGCAATTCTGAGCTAGGAGCTCTCTATCTCTATACTAGCATATTGTATTTGGATGTGGCTCTGGTACACAGAGCTATAGTTTCAGGCTTCCCAGATTTGGGATTTTCTGACTGGTTCTGTTAGCCCTAAGCCAGAACTTCAGAACCAGACATTATAAATTGCACCTGATCGTGTCACAGCAAGGTATGTTATGCAATGAAAAGATAAATGAAACAACGCCCTCCTCCCATTCACACTTCTAGTTCATAAGTGCAGTCTGGTTTTCTTTCTTAATTTTCTTGTATATTAATTTCTTAGCAGAGAGGCATAGCTATTATCTGTTGTCTAGCACACAGACCATGTGGGCTGAATTCCTAAAAAGGGAACAAAACTCCTTTAACTCCTTATCATTCACACTTAGAATAAATGCTAGGAAAATCTGTGCAACAGTGGCAAGTTAAAGAAAGGACCAGCAGAAAATGACATAAATCACTATATTTATCAAGCGGAAGGAAGAAGCAGAATAACTTAAGTATTTCTCAATAAGATATAGGGGTAAAACTTTTTTACAGTCTAACAATCCAAAGACTGGCAAAAAAGTTATTTTTCATTTAATTACCTATGGATTATGGCCTCAGTAATTACAGATATACTAAAACAAATCTGCCAGACATTCAGCTCTAACAGAAATACTCCAGGAATTGGTTAGAGTGCAAATGAGATGATTAAGAGCCAGGTTCTCTAGCAGTTAGTCTAGAAGCAGGACACACAGCAACAGTTACTGGGCTGATGAAGAGAAAGACCTGATATACTTGGTAGGACCAACAATGAGAGCCTCTATTTTCCTTGATATATATCTTGTGCAGATTCCACAAGTAATATAAAAGGTTTTTAACGTATACCATGATCTGCCAACAAAGGTAATTGTTGGAAAAAGGGTAACTAAACATCCGCTGGTGATTTCCCTCTCCCACTAAATTCAAATAAATAAAAGCCAGTAAATCACACTGAACATTAACATACTACCCATCACTGGCCGTAATTAATTATATAAATGTTGACGTTAACATAGAAGGAAGCCAATGCTTGACATGCAGACATTGTCCAGTTAGATACCCCTAACAACACAGACAGGAGATACAGAGAAAATGCTTCAGTTCCGAGATTAGAATATTATTTTAATAATAGCTCCTTTTTGGTAATATTAAGAATGCAAACAAGAGATTTAATGTACATCATTATCAACAGTCTACATTACTGTCTTAAACGTCTGGTTCTCTTCAAATTTAATGAAAAAAAATATTCATGCACTAATGAGATGACATCTCTCCATGCAGGGGACTTTATCTCCTACAGATATTTCTGTTTTTCTGAGAAAGCAGTAAATGGGGGTATTCAGGGACACATGGTTGCAGTATAGGCATTTTAAAAGAAACATACTGTACATTACTTTTAATAACCAAAAGTATCACTACACTACTTTAACAACACAAGATGAAAGGTAAGCATCAGTATAGGTACCACTTAAACTCAGGATTAAACCCTTTCTTAGTTAAATTCAGCTGGAGGACAGCCATTTGCTGGGACATGAATTTCCACATAGAAATTTCGAACATGATGCCACCTTTAAAATATAATACCACCTATACAGTATCATACCATGTTTTTTCATTTTCTCACTCTCTTCTTCCTTGTGTTGCTAAAACAAGTTTAAAAGAACCATCTCTTTATTCCCTTTCTCAGTTTCTCTGTGCACATGGGACACTGAGATTAGACCAAAAATACCTACCCAACTGTGTTCGGGCAAATGACAGCAACCTCTGTAGAGCTCCATTATTCTATTCTGCCCTCCTTTAAGTTGAATTTGCCCGGTAAATGTTCAGAAGAAATCTCAGCACAATCTTTTCCTACAGATCTGTCTCCTAAAACATTTCAGAGCTTACAACCGCAGTGTTGCGATTTGCAATACTCAAGATACCCTGTTTGCAGGAGGACTATAGTTCCTCTTTTCTCTTCCCCTTACCCACCTTATCCTGCCTTTCTCTACCAGATACGTGGAAAAAAAGATGGATGCCATGCATGTAGGATCACTAAAGCAGAAATACACACTAAGAAGCATGGGTGAGGAACAGGCATCTGCCACACTGAAAGATCTGGTCCTACAGCACCAACACTGGAGAAGGAGGAAGGATTCCAGCACCACCTTACACGAAAGCCCTTGTTGTAGAGCAAAGCCTTCCTGGGGACAGGTCCTTGTCCCCAGCTGGGTCACAGTGGCTAAGGAGTGAGGAGACAGAGGCCACTCTACCTACAGCACCTGGAAACTCTACTGAGCTCCTGTCCCTCCCTGTGACACATGGCATTATTACAACCCTTTTCTGATATCCACAGCAGAGATTCCCGTGGTGACACTGTAAGGCATGGCAGGGCTCACCTCTCCCTGAACTCTACAACAGAGCCTTCTGCTACTTTCTTTTCTTATCAAAGTTGTGAAGTTTATCCATTTCAGCTGTGTTTAAATGCTTTACTAATGTTCTATTTTCATTCTAGAAATAAATTTGAAAACTTATTTTTGAAAATAGAGAAGCATGTATATGTTTCCATTAATCTATATATTTATACACAAATATTAATACTGATATATTATGCAATATTGCAAATTAAACTTCACATTGTTTAGGGCAACGCAGTTCCATCCTAGGATCCTCATAACAATGCTATCTTGCTTCTTTTGCTGGTCTGCGATATTAAAAACAAAATCCCTATTGAAACTGACAGCTTCTATCATAATAATTAAATGAACACGCATTGGCTAATAACTGATACTATATTAATGAAATTTTTTGTTCAGTAGCTTCATGAAAACTTGTCATTTCATAAGAAGGATAATCTAAAGAGAAACTTGTGAGGCAGGCAAAAGCGTTCATAGCAAAAGCTTTCCAGATAGTAATCTTTAGTTAAATATGTATCAATTCACTTTCAGCTGATGTTCAGTAACACAAAGCTTCCTAAGTGAAATAAATAATAATATAGATTTAAACAAAAAAGAATTATGTAAAAATTCACTAACAGCCACTTACCGCTGATTCACAAAAGGAGTGGAGAACTCTGCAAGCAGACGGAAGTTTCCAAAATAAGCCAACAGACCTTTGCTCTGGTTAACAAAACAAAATAGACATACAAAGTTCAACAGTATAGCAGTGAAATCTTGATTAGAAACTTCAAGCAACACAGAAAGATACAGTGTCTCAAATTATTTACTAAAACTGATAGCAAGCATATTTGTTAGATGCACTACCCTTCTTCACAATTTCAAAGTAAGGTTAACTAAAAAAGATACAAATATCCTTCCGTTATCTTGAAGCAATAGTTTTTTACAGTATTTTAAATAAATCTTTAAAATATTTACAGTTAAGTGGCAGTGGAAAGTGAGCTAGAAGAGACTGGCATAAACAGTAGTAGGTCATAATTATAATGATTCTGTTACCATCTAAGACTGTTATGAATATTTTGGATTTTTCATGTTTAAATAAAATGAAACAGAATCACTGTAAACTAAAGGAAAAAGCCCCTATGTTTTTTTAGGGACCGTAGTTTGCCAAAGTGAAGACGAAAGGCCGGCTCTTATTTGGCAGCAGAAAGGGCACATAAAGCCCTTAAATTCTCCTCTCCTCCCGACTGCAGGGGAAACCCTTTCCACCAATTCTGTTTCAGTCCCTGCCGCATCCTGCGGAAGAAGAGAACACCTGTTCTGTGCTGGCATCAAGGTAACGGTGTGGTGCTTTTACACCGATACACGTTGTAACTGAACACTTTCCTCTAAGTGACAAAAATACAAAACATCCTCTGTGTCATCTTTCGCTTGTGTTACACGCTGGAAATAATATCCATTATACCTTGACTGGGTAAGCAGCAGTTTACAAACGCAGGAATAAAAATATTCAAAAAATTATTCAGCAGTACTCCTGAACAACCCATGGCACGTACGTCACCTTCCTCTTTTCCCCATTAGGTGTATCATACCTAATACTGCAGGCGTTTCACATCGGACTTAGCACTACACCAAACAGAATCTGTGTTCTTAATCAAATTCTCTCCTATCTTCAAAGCCATTTTTGAAACAGGATACCCATGAATAACCTCCTCTGAAGATAAGCCAGTGAGAGTAACACGTAGACATCTAAGGGCAAAGTTAGAACTGAATAATAGAAACTACTTAAAAAAAAAAAGTCAAAGTTCACACAATAACTACACTTTCCATTTACTCCAGAAACAACTAATGAGTTTTCCGCATCGAGGATTAGCCTTTGGAGTGATATTTTAGTTTCTCTAGTATTCAGTATTTCTCTAGTATTCAGTTCTCTCTAAATCAGCTTCATCCATGATAATACTGGTAGATCTCATTATCTTCAGCTCAAAAGTGTCTTTACTTGTCAGTGTATTTCACCTCCTTTAAACAATAACATGCGAAATCTGACATTAAGTCCCAGATAAACCTGGCATGCAAGGGCTTGCATGATGCTTTTTTGTCTTAATTTTCATTTACCTATTAATAAAACCAAAAAGATTTTACACATAGTTAGGTAAGTGAAAGCTCACTATTCCATTTTGCTACCTCCACACTTTTTATATCATAACCTTGGGATGCAGGCAGGGAAGTAGGCAGGGAAAGAAACGTGGTAGATGAAATAATGCATTTTATAAGACCTTTATTTACTGAAGGGGGTTTTCAGAAGGAATTCTGGAGTGCTGTTCTGGAGGTTAGTGGGATTTCTATCAAGTCACACAGGCATCTTTGAGAAATTCCACCTAACAGCAGCAAAAAGTAACTAAATCGGTCTTTATCTTAGAACTGTATCCTTCTCTTCCCCTTTTCTCTTCAATGTATGCATGCCACAGCTGTTTATGGCTATATACAGCCAATCATCCAGTTTTCTCTCTACAGTAACCTTAAATATGAAGTCTCGGAAAGTCAATGAACTTCTTATGAAGTTATATAATGAGAAACCTCAGACAGCTTTATAAAGACCTGAAGTTAGCCTACACTAAATAGTCGATAAGGTCCCCTTAATACATATTTAGGAACCACATAGTATTGTACATTATTCAGATTAGCACACTAATATTAAATATTAATACGTGCTATCTACCAGCTGTTCAATAACTTATAACATCAATTAAGGTGGAATATATTTCAGAATCCTATCTACCAAAGTAGCATAGCATTCTACTAATGATGTCTGGTGACAGGAAGTATGAAATAACGTATGCCATAACAGAATGCTTAGATGTCTCTCCTTTAAATAAAAATTTAAAAAAAATAAAAAGAAAAAAACACACCCAGCTGACTAATACATGCACCAGACTTAGAGATTGCTGACCTATGGAAATGCCTTGCAATACAGTAACAAGCAGAACATAACCAATTGAAACCATTTCCTTCTGATTTTTCTGACTCAATGGGGACTTGTGGTTTTATTTGAAACCCTTTCCTGTAACCACATAAGCCCCTCTCTCCCGAGTCCCTCTACGGTAAAAATTAAAGAGTTCCAGTTTCAACATGCAAACAAATTAGGAATATGTTAGTTGAAGGGCTATAATATTGGAAAGGCATGCACTTAGCACAAATGCCCGATAAAACCATTTAGAAAGTAATGATGACTGAAAATATCAATATGCATTTCACAACGGAAGCACATCAAATAGTGACAAATTTTTTAAACATTAAGCAAATGAGACCTATAAAGCATTTTTCTTTTTCTCATCAGCACTCACCAGTACAAAGTAGTAAGCATACAGAGCTGCCAAGTGATGTATTACAAAAAATTTGTCACCAATTGCCTTCCAGTAGTAAATAATAAGCAACAAATCTACAAGAGAAAAGAAATAACAATATATTACCATTTACCTGAGAATAAAGTTTAAGTTTTTGAATGTAAATACTGACTTATGGTACCAGTAGAAGCATTTTGAATTAATTATCTTTGAAGAGAACATCTTTATCCTAAAGACTTTCTTTTATGTGGTAAAAGTTATGACAAAGCATTAAGCAACAGTATTCTTCCAACAGTTGACAAATTATTGTTTTCCACATTAAGGGAAGTACAGGGGCAATAGCTTTAGCTGAAATATTTTGGAAAGAAAAAGTGGATCCAGAATCTCATAGCTAGACTTCATACTTACAAGCAGAGAAAATTTCAAAGTAATACACTTCCCCAAAGGGCAGGGAGTACAGCCAATAAACACATACGATAAATACAGGGATCCATTACGTGACTTGTGAAGCAAGGAGTTACATTAGCAAGCAGGAAACCATTTAGCAAAAATATTTTGGAAGGGGCACTTGGAATGGAAAGTATGTTTGGTTTATTAAATCAGAACTCTCCAGTTACTGCAAAAGTGATATAGTGGAGCTGAGTTAACATTGTATTGAAAGCTTTGACATAAATGTTCCTTCTTGTCCCCTTAGCGGTTTGAGACTTCAGGAGATCTTCTGTTCTGTACTGGAACAAGAAACTCCAAATAAAGCAGTACTTGGTACACTGCCTTGGAAACAGGCAACCAATGTTCCAAATCAAACACCTTCCCCCTTAGCCTTTTGTATCTCCAGTGAACGTCCTGATCTCTTTTATGAAAGCTAGCTGTCCTCAGGCAGGACTCTACATTATCTGATAGAGCTGCTCCACTTCCTATAAATAATTAAACATTAACTATATAAGGAAGGGAGAATAAGTAGCTAGGTTCACGTCTCTATTCAAAGGCATTCATTAATTCATAATGAAAGTCTAATGCATAATTATTCAAAAATAGATACCAATGAATTTAAACAAAGGAGATGAAGTTCCTCCTACAGACAAACCAGAGACTCAGCCCAGCCCACGTTCTAGGTGGCTGTTCCGATCACTGCCTTATCCGTTCCATTGGGGGCAAGAAACCTAGTCTGACAGAATCAAGTACACAGCTCGATCAGAGACTCCGTCCGAATGAGAGAAGTTTTCCTTGAAAAGAGTATGAGTCACAAAAAGTTTTGGCTTTCACAAGTCAGCATTCCCACAGACAATAAAAGAAAGCTCCAAAACATGTTGTAAGAAACGTTCCCAAGATAATTTTAGTTAACAGTAAATAATTAACAGAAAATACACGTAGTGGTAAATGCCATATCAAGAAGTTAATTTAAAATTTCTTAAGTTTTACACATAGGACTAAATCTTAGCTTAAAGTGAAATTTAAAGGTGAGTGTGGGAGGAATCTTATGGCGTCACTTGCCTCAGCTTGTTTTGAGGGTTACTCAACTGCTTCTGCCAGCATTTTGAGGTCATCAGAAAAAAATATAAGAGTGCTAGAAGTTCTAGACTCCCTGAAGTGAGTGAAGGGCACCATTTCAACACCTTCTAAGGCCTAAATTGGCTGAAGAACAAAAATGAGTTGAGTTGGTGGTTGTATATCAATCCATCATAAAGCCACACAGCGCCATTTCCTTAGTGCTTGGGGGGGCCATCATTCCCATCTTTCACATCCACAGGCAAGATCCTGTGATTTCACCACAACCCACAACTACATCAGTAACTTTAAAAGCCACATTAGAACCTGTATTGTATGCACATATCACGTTTTCAGCATAGCGACTCAATATAAATACATACATTGTGTGCATTATATATACATCGCATAATTACCAGAAATGAGGTAGCCTGTGGTAATAGCAATATTCAGTTTCACAATTGAAGGGTCACCCCTGTAAAAATACCGAAAATGCAGTTACAGTCCTTATAACAACTGTCAATTTGCAAAGGACATACACATATCAAACATCACTATGTCCATCACGTCACCAAATACTTGACCCATCAGTAAGCTATTAAGATATCTGGGTGAGGAATGTCCTAGCCAGGAAAATGGGTTCTTTTTCCACTGAGATAGAAGACACCTACTAACTACCCTAATTAGGATTACCTCGTGCCTTGGGAAGCTTGCTAGAGACTGGAAGTGAAACCCAGCAGGTACCCTAAACTAGTTTTGCTGGAAACAGTCAGAGAAAGAAAGAGAACAGACTCAGTAGTGTGTCATAGCACTTTAACTGCCACTCTGCACCTCCTTTTTTGTTCTTCTGTCTGTTACAACTTTGTTACGGCAGAGAAAAATGTCTTACTCAGCTGGTGCTTTTCATATACAGAAGACAATGGATGCTCATTAGATCTACAGGCACAAGCAGAGTAGAAGAACACATGATAGGAATCTATTTGTCAGTTCTTTGGAAGGGAACCTTCCAGTGGAAGTGCTTAACGGAATAATTTCACACCTTCTGTCCCTTCCATTTTTGTTCCAAATATTCAGCAAGCAAGGCTCCTAGGAGCACGCATATAACTTCAGTTCCTCCAGGATATGCAGTGAACCCAAATTTGTGAATACAGCTCAAGATACGGAAACACTACAACAAACAACTTTTATTTCTTCTTCCACTGTCCTCTGCATGCTCTTACTTTGAGAAGTTTGGAAAGCAGCTCTCCTTTCCTCTTCATAAAGATTGTTTTACACACACACACACACCCCCCAGGTTGTGCATCTAATATACATCTGTTTTGCTTAAGTATGAATCAGCTAGATTACACCTGCACTCAAGTTTGAGATTTAAGAGTCCTTATTTGGACAAGACAGGGAATGACCCATTTCCCTTCAGTCTTTCCAGGAACATGGGCCACCTTGCAACAAACCCTCTCCAGACTTTCTAAATCAAAACTTCAGCAGCACACATGGGTGCAACTACCCATCTGGCAGCTCCCAATACCTTCAAAAAGATTCCCTGCTAGAATCTCAAATTAATCCCAATTAATGGGAAGATTAGAACTTAGTCTAGAGTTTACTAGATTTCCTGATCAGTCTTCTAGAATGGGAAGCACAGCGGAGCTTATGAGACCAACCGTTTGCAGTCTAGTTTTGGTGCAACCAGGTTCCAGGAGAGACATACAGGGAGTGACTTGAATAAGCAGAAGGGATGAGCTCTCTCTTTTGTGATTGCAAAGGAGGTATGTGTGACAAATGAATTATGCAGCAACATGCACAGGCAGATATAAAGAACAAAAGTCCACATGATGTAACTTCTTTGAGCTTCTTTTCAAACAGAGTCATAGCAGATAAAAATCAAATACTAATCGAATATCACACTTCAAAAAGACAGTGTAATAACTCTAGAATGGACAGTTAAATGAAAAAGCCTGTCCTTTTGTGAAATTATAACTTCACTCACTTACATAACCTAATAGCAGTGCAAGGACCACACCTTCTCTCCATCGTGCCCAGACCCTTAGCAGGAGTCCTGATCCCTTTCAAGGCCTATGGTACCATCATCCTGCTTTTAAGCTTCACACCCATTCACAAACCCAAAAGTTAGGCTGACCTACCTAGAGGCTCAGAACTTGAGATTTTCCTTAAAACAAACAAGCAAGCAAGCAAAACACACACCACATTACCGGCAAGAATCAATCTGAACACTGTAACCTAGTCAGTAACTACATAAAGACAGCACCAACAACTAGAAAGAGCGTCACTATCAAAACCTTCCTGGTGGCCTAAAACTGGAGTATCTATGCAATGCTCTCAGGCTATACTGGGCAGAGGAGGCCAAAGAAGGTCTGTCAAGGATTCCTGGTCATTGACTTGTAAACTACTGAAGCTAGATTCACAAATGCTTCTCACATGGTTAATACAAGACTCCTGTAGAAAGACTCACCCATCCTTCAGACCTGTAAATGACCAAGTCCCACAGATTATGTCTGTATTTCAAAACGGCATCAGATTTCCATACGATTGACCAGCTTTGCAACAATCCATCTGGCTTTTCTCTTAAAATTTGCTCCCTCCCCTCCAGTCTTATGTAATTAAAATCAAAATGATGTGGATTCAATTATGAATCAATGTAAAAAGGAAAAGTATGGTTTGCAATTGTGAGGTGAACTTAAGATTTAATGTACAGCTACACCATAAAACAGATGCTAAAAAAAAGTGGTTAAAGCTCTATTATGGTCAACTAGGGATTTAGTGACTGCGCCTAGGGAGCCAATACGACATAAGGGGGAATGTACAGACAAATGAGAGCGATCTCATTTTTAAGAGTAACATAAAAGTCAGCTTTAAAAGAATAAGTACATCTGCAATTTCTGAGAAAACTACCCTATGTTTCTGGCATTGTTGGTAGCTTCTGCTAGTAGAAAGCCAAAGAAGAGCGCTCCTGGGAAAGTAATACCTTATTTTACTGACAAGCTGTATGCAAGTACTTGCAAAGTCATGGGCAATATGTTCAGTCTTCCTTTGCACTTATTCACTTCCATGAACATGAACTCAAATCATTGCAACTGCTCTAAATATGTTAAGTGATGCTCCACAGATTTTAACACAATTAGTGTAATAACTACAAACACTAATTTTCAGATCTAGAATGTGTTCTATGCACATTTTTAATTTACAAATTCCTGAAACCACTGGGTTTTTGCCTGAGAAACAATTTACAGAAATACTGCCATAAAGTGAACCTGAAGCTTTGATTTAAAAACACAGGTCAAATATCCTTCCACTAGCAGACTTCTAAATACATATAAAAAAAAAAATTCTTATTCTACCATATAGAAATAAAGCTGCAGTTAACAGTTATTCTAAAGGTATCCAAGGAGAGAAAACTATTTATAACTAAGAGCAGAAATACAGACTAGCTTTATCCCAAAGGCAGGTAGATTCTTCTGTTTAAAGATTCACTGTTTTTATATAATCTAGGATGCTAAGGTTCCTTAAGCAAGATTAAATTTTCAATGTTTTATACAAAAAGTTATCTAACATAACTTTGTCCAGACTTACTAAGAACAAAAAGTTACTTTTCCAGTTTATCTGACTTTTTCCTGGAACAATAGCAAGAGTATTTAACTAATGTTAAGATGCAGTTCCTTGAAGTTCACCATCTCATTTTTATTTCTGCCATTTATGTCCTCTTTTGTACTGTTTAGAACAAAGTCTACGCAAATAAACTACGATAAAAGCTTTTTCCTCATAAAGCTTACCACAACACACACACATATGCACACGCGTGAACATACAGAATTAAAATAACCTGTTGCTTTTCAGCATGGTTAACAGATCTCATAAGATGGTGCAGACAACTATATTGAGTCTCTCCAAAGATACCACAGTACAATGATACCACAATACAAAATGCCAGACTGCTGAGGAATTGATTATATATCATTACATAAAGAAGAGGTCAATGCTGCAGAAATTCATGTTACTATTAATGTTATATTTATTAAAGCCACAAAACAAGTCAGTGGCAGAGATGCAATCAGAATTGAGAGCTTCAAGCACCCAATCCTGTCCAGCTCACACTGCATTGTCATTAATTTACAATATCAAAAATGTAGAAAAATTACCAAAATTAAATTTAGGCAAGTTTAAACTGACTCAACAGCATGGTCCTTTGACAAGATTAAAACAACAACCTAGGACAGAAATATGAAATGAGACTTAATTAGTTACGCTTCTGGAAAAATGCAGCTTCTTCCTTTCAGAAGGAAAGGGTCTCAGAGGATGAGTAAAACTTCAGAATATCAATAACAATCTATAATTAACTCATTTTAGTTGAGTTGGCATCTTCTGCCTCTGTCTGTGTCTGTCCCTCTCTCTCTGTCTCTCTCTCCCTCTCAAAAAAAAGGGAGGGGGAGGGAAATTGAATCAAAACAATGTAACTAGATATCAAGAAATGATTAAGCTTAAAATTGAATATTTTTGTTAATTTGAGAAACTGTTAGAAATCAGTTTATTAAATATTCCTACTCCTTCCGAAGATAGCAGAAGGAGCTATCTATTTTTAAATAGATTGACAGAAATTTTTGGAGAGGCTGAAACATGCATACCTTCATTTAATTTATCAGTTTATACATGTATATTTCATATATATCATAAGCTCCTCCAACTTTTCCTCCGGTCTTTTTCTCCCAGAGAAAAAGATTATAGTAAATAGCACAGTCTGAGTCTCACCCCCTTAGGTTATACTTTCAGTTCTGTGCCTAAGTAATTCAACATGCTGTTTCAGATCAGTTTTCTGTACTATATCTATTCCACTTCACAAACATACAATACAATAAGGCATTAATACTGACAAAATAATTTGTAATTATCAAATGTACAGACTTTAAAATGGACATGTCACAATTCCGTATTTTAAAGAGAAATTAAGCAATTATTTCAGTAATTAACACTTCACCCTTTTTTTTCCATTTTCATTTACATTATTTTATTTTGTAAACACAACATATATGTAACGTCTTACCAGATATGGTCAGCATTAACAGCTTCATCGTACAACAATATATATAAACAAAAAACACCAACCACCAAGGCATGGAATGTGGACACTGTCCTGAAAAAACAGATCACAGTCACAAATAGATACTACAATTTAGAATATTCTATATTATACCTAAGGTAGGGTGTATTCAAAGGAATTCTCAATTGCATTCATATGCCTTTGTAGTGGACAATCATCTCTTCTTCACACTACATTCAACCACTCATATGATTGACCAAATACTGATGGGAAAGACCATCATAAAGAAGTAAGGTTTGAAAGTAAAGTAATTGAGATCTGTAATTTTTCCATATCATCTCTTATGCTAATGAATCCTTATTGACAATAAGACATCCAGTTCTTCAAATGAATACGTACTGCATTACCCAGCTTACTGGAAAAACTTAAGAAAATATCTTGTATTTTATATCTAGATTGGCCTGCATGTACCACAGCAGCAGGCTTCTGCTTTCAGACACCAAATTAATAGATGAGCCAACATAAATCTGCTGAGTTCAGGTTTTGGAAAAAAGGAGCATTAAATCAGAAATCCTATCAAGCAGAGTTTCAGAAAGAGTTTCAAAAATAACTTCTAGAGCATTTGAACTAATTCCAGTTTTCAAAGGGCAAACACATGTAACAAAAGGTGCTAACCGAGTATCTGAGGTGTAACAGCTAACAGGTTCTTATGAACTAACAACTCGCAGCTTCACTTACACTATTTTACACTCCTCATATTGCTCCTTCATCTTACAAAGAGCCATAGTAATCAGAGTTGCCTTGTCCACATCCTAGTCTAATACCTTTTCCTAGAGATTCCAGTCTCAAGTATATGTGGTGCATGCATAATGCAGATGAACCCTGAATGTTCACAAGCACTTGCAGATAATTACCTACCTCACAGCGGCCTTTGGTAAGGATATGAGCCAAGGCCATTCCTGCCCTTTTGCATCTGAATGTATTCTTGGATGGCAGAACAATGCAGTAGGCATATGTCCAAAATGTGTAAATTAAACCCTGTTCATCTAACCATGGATTTAACACAGCCGTAAACTGCATGTAATATTGTACACCTACTATCTGCTCTCCTACTTTTTAAGTCTGACTAGGAAGAATAAAATTACATGCCAAAATATGTTTACTGAATCATGGATAGTGTTTCAAGCATAAGAATTCTAAATTACATGCTGTGTGATCAGGCATTACTTTACACAGTATTATATAGCATTAACAATACACAAGCAAACGTATAGATGCAGTTAGTTACTAAGGCAGTCTTTGTACATATTGAATCAATCTATTTTGAAGTTATTAATATTTTAAATGCGCATAAGTCATTCTCAGGACTCTAAGCACTGCTCTGCAAGATTTCAAAGAAAATATCTTAATAGTCTTTTTCTTGAGGAAGACTTTGTAAAGGAAGAGAAGGTTGTAAAAAAAAAAAAAAAAAAAAGATGGAGATCAATACAACATGAATTGACAAACAGAGCAAGCTGGATGAGAACATTTACTAACCGTTATCGCATAAACCATTTTTTTCTAAAGTAATATGGTTATCAGATGTCTAATGATAAGTAAGAGTTTAATTAAAATGTCAACTCTTAGCAACAAGGAATTACAGAAGGCTAGGGACTTTACTTCCTTTTTAAAACAAAGCATGATGTGCAAGATTAGTGCTTGAGAAATGCTTGGGATTTTTGAACTTTAGAAGGGGATAATGTTGAAAGAAGTAAAATTTATCCTAGAACACAGTTCATTCATTTGGAGTCACAGTTTCTCTCAAAAGCAGCTGTTTATGTAAACCTTATATTTAGCATATAAGCTGTATACAAGCATAGCACTGGAAGAAAAAGAAGGGGGTAAAAAAAAAAAAAAAAGCACTCTGGACTTTAAAGTTTCTCCATAGAAAAGGGGAAAGAACAGGAGAAATAGTACAACACTCCATTTTAATATGGAATCTAGGTCAAGCTATCAAGCTTAGTACATTTCCTTGAAATTACTGTCAAAGCCTGCATCATTTAACTCCTCATTAAACTGCAAATAAAAACATTGCACTGGTAAGTCGCATACTTACTCCTCTAGTATGAAATACATATTTTTTGCAACTGCTAAACAGCAATACAAATGCGTATTGCAGAAGAAGCGATAGGAACTTATGCACAGCAATTGAAGAGTTACAGTACATCTGTGACAAAGTATAATTTTTAACTCAGTTTGACAGTTTGCACACTTAAGAGTCCAGAAGCGGTTACTTTATTGGTCCATAATTTTTAGAAGATTAGAATGAACAAATTGGTAGTAAAGAGAATACACTCCAGAGCTGCAGCTCAAAAGGCTGATTTACAAAATGCTCCAAACTGTAACAATGTATTTGCAACGCTACATTTCAGCTCAGGGTATGGACAGATGCCCTCTTCCAGACCCAGCTGAGCTGATAAAAATGCACAACCATCCTCTGTGCCAGTTTCCTTCAGGACTGCCAACAGAACCGTCTGTGTGAGCGTTCCCTATGCCAGTTCAATATAAGACAACACAGCAGTGATCTACTTTTAAAACACATCAGCTAACCCAACCTATTTTGACTAAAGATAGCAGCTTTCTCTACCTGCACAGCGGTCTGCAGAGCATATACATATCTATACTCTATACTAAGTCACATCTTGAGACGTCTCTTCATTTGGGTGAAACACTGGCGTGATGCAGCAGCATGACATAACACTGCTTTCGGTTAGCAGTGTTAACAGGCGCAGTTTCTGTTGTGGAAACAAAAGTACCGCTGGCTTTTCTTTCACTTTAGTCAGGACGCCCTCCTTCAGAAAGGAATAACATCAACAAGCTGTTGATGAGCCATGCTTTGCGTTTCATGCCTTCTAATTTCAGAACAGAATGTAGCACTGGACTGTGACTCACATAGGCACTAACATCTACGCTCTGCTAGCAGCTCCCGGAAAAGCTGTAGAAAGACAGGGCACAGCCAGAGGTGCTCTGTTTATCAGCTTGATTAGTTAAATATCTTACAGTGCAGCCCAGGGAGAACAGAGAAGCTTATTTCTAGCAGACTTATGATCTGTGAAATAATTCATATGTTATTATGCAAAGCACTACCGTTTAGCATAGTGCTAACAGGCTTGGGATATGTCCTCAGAAACCCTATTATGTAATTCAAGGGTCACTTGATGTGGCTTAGAAACAGAAGTTTAGCTCCAACACAGTAGAAGTTTAGTTTAGTTGCCCTTCCTGCCTCTGTTGCTGATTCTAACAAGGAGATAAACCTACTGCACTGACAGCATGCAGCAACATCCTAAAAAGATGCTCAGGTAAATAGATACATATTCAAAGATGGAACTGAATTTAAGACGGTGCTATTAAAAACATTGCAGGGTGGACATTTGCCAAATGGAAGGGAAAGACTATTTGTGTTACTAATGCTGCCTAAAACAATGGAAACAGTTTTAAAAGTATCCACCTGAAATTGCCTTTAACAGCACAGAATAGGCACAGTGAGATGACTAGTGCATTTTGAGCACAGTGGAAGCAATACAGTACAGGTTTTCAAGCTCAGAACATGAACACCAACTGAAAAATATTTTAAAGCTATAACAGGCTACTCAGGCATAGAGTTCATGTTTAACTTAACCCCTCCGCAGCTTCTTTATCTATACACACAGGTGTTAACAATTTCTAGTAGTTCATTATTTGTAGTTTGTTTTGAACACTTTACCTTGAATTCCATTCGATCTTCCTTTTTTGGCTGAGATTGTTAAAACCAGGAGTTATTCGTGTTGATACCCAAGAACTTAAAACATGGAACAGAACCTGAAATACGGCAAAGCTGGCAACAGTAATACCAATAGTCAGGTTGCTGAAGGAAGCCATAGCTCTTCAGCCTGTGAAGAGAAACGGTAGGTAATTTCAGTCCATTCTCCATTTAACTGTCTTAAGCAGCCACAGAAAATGCTTCCAACAGCTAACTTACCAACTATTTTAGTGAAATACTAGTCACTAAAAACTTTCATCCTGTTTAATGTTTCTACTTATTAGAATAAAATTATCCCCAAACTTTCACATGTAAAATTTGTTGTTGTTGTTGTTGCTTTTAATATGTATATTTAGACAGTTGCTGTCTAAAGTCACATGTATTTTATCTGCAAAGAAAGGGCAGGGAGGAATATTACAGGGACTTGAAAATATCATCAAGCCCTTCCCAATCTCTGCTACTGGCTCCCTCCACACACCGGATGTCCCAAGGATCCGACTGCCTGCGCAGACGCCTCCACTCCCACCCCAAGAAGCTCCCTAGCTAAAACTCATCTCATTCTTAACAGATTGACTGCTATTGACAGGACTTCCAAAAAAAAAAAAAAAACCACATACCACAGTGAAATCAGATAACTATAGTAGAGAGATTTTTCAGGTCAATTGAGAAAAGCCTCAGAACAGATGACCTCACCACAGCTTCACGTCTGTATACTTTACAGAAACAGTAGCTCTCAATCTGCACTTTGTTCACAATTAAGAGCTTGTCTTTTGTGACAGCATGTAGTCACTGGTATTAGGGATTTTTTCTACTTTATATGAAAGTCTGAGCTTTGCACAATTTCATGGCATAACAAAAAGTTTCCTAGCATCAGAGCTAATGAGTTTTTCAGATGCTGATTGTTTATGCATTTCATGAGGCCTAAATAAACAGCTAAACAATTTCAAACATACATGTCAGTCTCTAAACATTTAAGCAATTTCTCCTAAGTCTCCAGTATTTTGTACGACAGAATGATATGTTCCCAGAAACCACAGCTTTCTGACATGCATCTCTGCTTTGATGGTATTGTCATGTGTTTTACATTCAAACCTGGCAAAGGTTACAGACTCATAAGAAGTCAATTTGTATTAAGTTGAAAAGAAAAACAAAAACACAACCAAATGGTTTGATTTAGATGATTTTAATAGACATTTAAATAACTGCTGTCACTTTGGGGGAATTTACTGAAGAAAAGAGCCAAAAATAAAATTGAGGTCTCAGAGGCTAGGGTGATTTGATTGTTACTCTATTGACAGCAAAAATTGACGCAACTATATAATGCATTTATGTCTACCTTTAGTTCATATGCATTATAGAATAAAAAATGTCTATTAATTTCTTTTACATTGCGTTTGCAGTGCAATTTGATAGAAACTGGAACAAATGGAAGAAAACAAAGCCCACCAACCAAAAATAACTTTCTGAAGACTTACATAAAGTATTCTAAACGTTCTGGGAAATTAGTAAATGTATTGAAACATGTTTTGCACTTAAACCTAGAGTTTTAACAACAAGTGTACTACAAATTGATATGCGCTAATCAAACACTTTTGTCCTTCAAAGTCTAGAAGCGGAGAATTCAATGATCCCAAACTCTCTTTTCCTCTCCTTTTTTCTCCCCTCAGAATCAAAGAGGAAAAAAGCAGAGTGAATTATCTGAAAACATTCTCTGACTAGCACCTACAATAGAAGTCAAGACTACATAAGCAAATAGCGCTGGACAAATAGAAGCAGACCTGCTGAGCGAAACCTGCACCGGTTTCGTATGGATTTCAGGTGTCTGCTTCGGATTAGCTCTAATCTGGTCCCAGGGACTCCACAGCTGTCAGAGTGTATTCAGTGTACGCATCTTCTTGCTTGGTGTAACCCAAAAGGAATCCAGCTTGCATACGCTGGGACTGCTATGCAACACAAGTGCAGTGTGTGGGGATGATCAAGATTCAATTCAGAAGTGCACTCTTACTCCTAACTAAAACATTAACGTACACACAGTGCAATGTATTGCAACAAACTCTGGTTTATAGGCGTTTATCTGATGACCTATTCTAGTTAAGCAGCACACTAGTCTTGAATACTTTTTAAAGTTAGTCTATTAAAATTACGACTTTCAAATACTATCCTAAATATTCAGTATGCTCTCTCAAGTATTTTTACACTGAGTTTTCCCTGTATTTCTCCATTTGTTTCCATTGACCATGAAGAGACAAAATACAAATGAAATGTTATGTCTTTTTATGCAGTTTAAAATACTATTTTAAATAATTAAAAAAAAAACTTTTCAGCTTGAAGGAACAAAACAATTAATTACATTTTACATTTTCCAATTTAAATCAACCAATAAGCATTGTAAGGTGCCTATTGCAGGTTCCACTCCTGGGGCCAGAACTTTGTTATTACATCATCTAATTTGTAGTAAGCAAGACCACATCAGGAAAAAAAAAATGCATACGTTTAATTCCTAAAGTGTATAAAAGTAAAGAAGCCAAATCTCTTCAGAAAAGTAGCAAAACCACTGAGCATCAATCACACCCACTTCATCCCTTGACTAAAAAGCAACAATTCTCCTGACCCTATCTATTTTATCAGTCTGCAGTGACTCTACTAGTACCTCTGTTTTTTGAAAATACTAACGTAATCTCTTGGACAAAAGGAAGCCATGTTTTGTCTTGTTTCCTTAGCATTACAAGAGTTGATTAGATATTTTTAATAAAGCAATATTTCAGTACATGCCAGGTGTTCATTTTAGCACAGGAGACAATGAAATTAAACAAAAAAAAATTGCAAGAAATGAATGAAAACAACGAATCTTCTTTCTAAAGAGCCTGTACAGGGAATCCTTTTTAAGAAAAAAAAAAAAAAAGTTGTGTGGAAAGTCAGATCAAACACTTCCAAAGTATTATGTACATATAGCTCTCACCGGTTTAAGTAGCAACAACAGAACCATGATGCCAGTGAGAGAGGAAGTATCATGGTAGCAGAGAAGAAACTACTCACCCAGCCTCTATGGTTGGACTCATGAGAGTTTCGCAAGACTGATTTCAGAAGGTGATTTCATATGTGCTTTATCAAGGTATTGTCTCAGTACATTAAGTAGAAAAGACTAGGAATACTTTTACATTTTACTTGCACAAATTAAGAGTGCTCTATTTTAATTCAATTTAAGGGTTAGATGTAAACACTATGTTTTATATGAGATGAAAGAACAATTCAGCTATAAACATTTGCTCATATCTTTGTTTCCAGCTGAATCCTGTTTAACATGAAAATTAATGGTTATTTATCCAAGTTACTTTTTTGGTTAAAAAAAACAGTTTCATGTTGTTGAATCAAACTTTATATTTTAAAAGAAACATAATAAGCTTTTGATTACATATGATTTCTTTGCCCTGAAGAAAATGACCAAAGTCAGTAAGTCAAAAGTAGTTTCAACTACACCTTTTTTTCTGCCCCAGTAGGTTCTTATGGCTGTCCAGCAAAGTCTGATCAAGACACAGAACTTCATGGATTATATATGAGTAGACACTTTATCCCCCAAACTGCACAGTCATTGATTACCATTCAGTCAGCTGATACAGTTTTTGAGCCAGGGGAGGGGAGAAAGGCAGGAGGGTGACGTGTAATTACTTTGTACTTCAGGAAAACACGGTTGCTTCCTCATCATTAGTTATTTAATAGTGATCTTTTCCTAACAGTAATTTCCTATAATTACTACATTAATCATTCAGTTAGCTATTACTTGCAAATGATCAAAACTTCTCTCTCACAGCTTGTCAGTGCAGTATTTATGTAAATAAATACCAGCAAATACCTAGAATTAATGATTTTTTCAGCAAGTTATTCATTACACATGTCTACCAAAGTGTCAAATTGCTCTCTTGATCCCACTAATTTTGGGAAAGATAATAATACAGCTTTTCAACCAAGAGTATGTCCAATACGATCTTTTCCCTTCATTTAGTCTTAAAATTCTACAATTTCCCTTCAACTCTGTTTTTACTTGAAAATAAAAATCAAACAATATTAAGAATCCATATTCATTCATCCCCAACAGGAAACCATTGTATACTTCTGACAGAAACAAGTCAGCACTTACTGAAAGCGTATAAAGGAGAAAAAGAGTTACCAAGCATTGTGCCATCAACAGAATTTAACCTTTACTCATTTCACCGTTTTCCTTAGTTACATCAATCTTTCACACTGTAAAAATAAGAAATACTCCCATATAACCACAAGGCATAGCAAGGGGGGGTACAGATTAAGGGATAAGGCCCACAGCCTTTTCTTTTCTTAAGGCTGGATTTCAAGACAAGTTTGATGGATTACCAAATAAGATTACCCCTTAAAGCTGCTTGCGATACCAGGACATCCCATTCAGATGCATGTTCTCTTGATCTCTTTAAAACTGAAAGCCAAATCCAATCTTTATAAGACTTACCAAACTAATTTGTAAAGAACAGCCTGGGACTACTGACTGCTTGCACATTCCGTAATAAGCTTAGCAATAAAACATCCGCAATATGTGCGTTCTGCTCTGCTGTTGGTTCTAACTGTTGTTTCTATTGCCCCAGTTTGATACCTGCAGCGCATTTCCTCTTTCAGCCCAGTAAGAAACACAGAAAAATTTCCTACCATGTCACAACAATACTGTGGGAACAAACAAAAAAATCTGGCTCTCCACAGCTTAAGACAACCTTTTTCTATATGAGGACACTCGCACCCCAAACTGCACTTTGCTTTCTGCTCTTAGGCACCAAAGCAACCCGAAGATCAAGCATACTTCTTGGAAAACGAGGACACAAGGTGAACCATGTGCTGCAGCACCACTTATCTAAAACACTGATTTTCTCAACCATTGCAGGAAGTTTTTAGTCGGAAAGCAACAGGGGGGAAAAAAGGGAGAGATTAAACAACCAAAAAAAAAAAAAAAACACACACACAACCTGCGAGGCGTGCCGAACCGCCAGCGCGCAAGGCGGGAAGGCCTCCGGAGATGCTGGCCGTGCGGAGACGCGAGC